ACTTTAGCAAGATATTTGATAATGATGTCTTTTGGCCAAAATTGAGATGTGTACACTATGTTGCTATTGTGAAGTAGATTTGTAGCTAAACTTCAACCACTGAGTTGGGGTCTAACTGAAGTGAGGTTGGGAGTGATTTGCCGGGTAGTCCTGTTATAATTATGTTTTTTCTCCTTATTTTAACATGTTTTGAGTTAATATATGGAATACTATTGCTTTTTATTTGAGATACCTACAGCTGAGAAATTTGACTTCTTTATTGGATGATGCAATAGAAACAGAAAATGTTAATTATGCAACTGCAACAAATACTGTGAAATTGTAGAGATCAACAGCCTGACATTTACAAGGGAAAACATTTACCCATGTAAAAGTTAGTAGGATCATGTCTTCATGCTATTTATTTATTTGATAAAGAATATTTAATTGTCTATGCATTACTAGAAAAAAAATCCTCCATATGAAATGATTAAATATTTGATCTGTGAGAAAAAAAGAAATAGAAAGAACTCCTCACCTCCTCACCATAAAGTGGAATTTTGGTAGTTGGAAGAGTTTTTGAGATGTTATGATTTTTGTACATTGAGTGAGAGGTTGAACCAGGTGATGAGTAGGTATGAGTGGGTTTCTTCAAATAGTACTTTTATTCTTCTATGATCCTGAGATCTGGCTCAACTTTTTTTTTTTTTTGAGATGGAATTTCACTGTTGTTGTGCAGGCTGGAGTGCAATGGCACAATCTCAGCTCTCTGCAACCTCCACTTCCCGGGTTCAAGAGATTCTCCTGCCTCAGCCCCCTAAGTACCTGAAACTACAGGTGTCTGCTACCACACCAGGCTAATTTTTGTCGTTTTGGTAGAGACAGCGTTTCTCCATATTGGCCAGGCTGGTCTCAAACTCCTGATCTCTGGTGATTCACCCACCTCAGCCTCCCAAAGTGCTGGGATTATAGAGAGTGCGGCCTTTCCCCTTTGACCATGTGTGGACACAGGCACGCCTGGCCCTAGCTCAACTTTTGATGAGTATACTCTGTGAATAACAGAATCAGAGCCAAGAAAGCAGTCATACCTATACTCTTTAAGAGTATAATCTGTGACAATAACAAGAATGATATGGAATTATACTAGATGTTATTAAACACAGTTGAATTAAATGGAAATAATCTATCAGCAGATGATATCAAATATTTACACTGAAAAAAAGTACAAGAAAATGTGCATTTGAGAGATAAGAGAGGAAGAAAGAAAATTGGTCCATAAATTTTGCATGTTGGAGGGAAGAGAAAACAAAACCAGTTGTGAAGGGGTTGCCTTCTACCTTTGAAAGAGCCTAAGGTAAAAAAGACACATTATGTCTGCCAGATATCATTTGATATTGATGCTACACCCATCTTTCAAAGTTTTCCCTTTTACTACAGTGGCTAAAAAATAAAATTAAAATGGCATTCAAAAAATAATGTTGGGGAACATAATTTAATATTTGGAGGTGGAGGAAAAAGAGAAAAGCCATATTTTTTCTGTAGTAGCAATGGGCAGGCATGGATGTGAGAGATGGCAGATGTGAGATTTTGCTAGTAAATACCAGCTGTCCTCCTGAGAATGCCACATCTAGACTTTTCAGAAAATTAAGATTAATGACACCTTCTCTGCAATCCATTCTCTTCTGGACTTCTTGAAAAGACAGCAGTGGTTCTCATGCCTTCACTCCTCCAAAGTTTCCAAAGGTTATGTAAGCCTCGAATTCCCTGTATTAAAAGGGATTTCATGCCTTTCTTCATGACTTTCTTGCAGTGGTGGCAGATCTTCCATATACCTGTACCACTGAAGGATGCTTTTTTGGACTCTAATTCCCTGCATTAGATCCCTTATTACTTGACATATTTGGTGCAGTTTCCTTACCAAACCCTGAAAACTTCAACCTTAGAGAAGTAATATAAGTTTTAGAGTTTTTGATAATTCAGGAATTTATTTTAAAAGCACCTAAAATGCAATAAAATATATATATTTTCAAAAAGCACATATTGTGCCAACCGCCGAGTATAACTGTACATTCAGAGATAATGTGATTCATATTCTCCTTATATTTTCATTTAGTGAGAAAATCAGGCAGTTAAAACTGGCTCCAAGAGCATCTCAGGTGGTTGTAATGCACAGTGTGAAGAGCCACAACTGAATTTTTATGTTTTTTCTAAAACTGCTTTTCATCCTGTATTACTTGTTTCTCTTAATGGTGTATAGTGTGCTGCAAATGACTATGTTCCCCCCAAATTCTTATGTTGAAAATGGAATCATCAAAGTGATAATATTAAGAGGTGGAGCCTTGGGAGATGACAAGGTCATGAGGGCAGAGTCTCCAGAATGGGATTAGTGCCCTTATCAAAGAGGCCCCAGAGAGTTACCTTTCCCCTTCCACCATGTGAAGACACTGTGAGAAGGGAACTGTGTTGGTTGGCTGAACACTGTGTGCTTTTAATCCTAACAATTTGACGAGTAGGAAAGATTTAGAGAGGATGTTTGAATGTTAGTGAATATGATGAGTTCAGAAGAATGCCAGCCACATGGTGTAGAATAGTAGAGGTGAAGGCAAATACTATTCATGCTTGAAAGTACATATGCCTCTTCCTCAGCCAGGCCATTATGATTGGAAGATTGAGTCGATATGGTCAAGAGTTAAGCTAGATTTGGATTTTGTTTTTGCTATGGCTATCTTCAGGGAACTATAAAATTCAAATTCCTCTGAGGTTCTGCCTTAATGTGTATGCTCCACCCTGAACTTTCTGCCATCCTGATTTGCCTATACTATATAGGGGGTATCTCGTCACACTTTTGACCTTTCTCAGTATCAGACTGCTATTGCTTGGTATTCGGCGCATACTGGGTTAATGGGAGGGAGGTTCTAGGTTGTCTAGTTCACCTAAGTGAAGGTAGGCTCTGTGTGCCTGGGCTTTGTGGTGGGATTTCCTCAGTGTTCCTGCCCTTCTTCCACATGGCAGCCAAATTGCCTATTTTCAGTATTGGTCATGTGCAGGTGGAAGTTTTTTGCTCCTCCTCCGGTGGTAGGAGATCTCTACTAGTTTTATAGGATTTTAGATAGAGGATTCTTGCCTACTGCTTCCCTGTGGGTAGAGGGTGTTTTCTATAGTTCTTCCAGGAGCAATGAATCTTCACTCCTGTTGACAGGGTTTGTTGCCCTTTCTTTATTTAAGGCTTTTTCCCATTTGAGAGAGGAATCTAAGCAGGAGATGGGGATTCATGCCTTTCCTTCTGTGGCAACAGATCCCCTTCTAAACACCTGCACCCTGAAGGTAGCTCTCTCTGAACTCCTTACCTGGTCCCAATCTACAGTGAATAAAAACTTCTTTTGTCTCTTGTCTCTAGGCTCTCCAGTGGTCTATACTGTAATGCTAACCCACATTTAACTTATCAATCTACTAACATTTTAGATGATTTCAAGACAAAAGAACAAAGCTGAGGCATTACATTACTCAACTTGAAACTATACTACAGAGCTACAATAACCAAAACAGTATGGTACTGGTCCAAAAACAGACACATAGAAGAATGGAAAAAAATAGAGAGCCAGAAATAAGACTACACACCTATGACCATCCAATCTTCAACAAAACTTGTAAAAATGAGTAATGGAGAAAGAACTCCCTATTCGATAAATGGCACTGGGATAACTGGCGAACTATATGCAGATTAAAACTGGACTCCCTTCCTTACACTATATCCAAAAGTCAACTCAAGATGGAGTTAAGACTTAAATGTAAAAGCCAAAACTCTAAAAGCCCTGGAAGACAACCTAGGCAATACCATTCTGGATGTAAGAATGAGCAAAGATTTCATAACAAAGATGTCAAAAGCAACCCCAACAAAAACAGAAATTGACAAATGGGATCCAATTAAGCTTAAGAGGTTCTGCAAAGCAAAAGAAACCCTCAAGAGTAAACAGACAACCTACAGAATGGGAGAAGGTTTTTAAAAACTCTGCACCCTGACAATGATTTAATATCCAGCATCTATATGGAACTTAAATACATTTACCAGAAAAAAAAAACAAACAACCCTATTTAAAAGTGCGCAAAGTACATGACAGACACTTTTCAAAAGAAAACATACAAGTAGCCAATAGGCATATGAAAAGAAGTTCAATATCACTGATCATTAGAGAAATGTAAATCAAAACAATAAAACACCATCTCATACCAGTCAGATACTACAATCAAAACAATAAAACACCATCTCATACTAATAAAAAGTTTAAAAAAAACAGATGCTGGAGAGATTATGTAGAAAAGGGACACTTGTACACTGTTGGTGGGAATGTAAATAAGCTCAGTTATTGTGGAAAGCAGTGTGGCAATTCCTCAAAGAGCTAAAAACAGAACTAGCATTTGACACAGCAATCTCATTACTGGGTATATACCCAGAGAAATATATATCACTCTACCATAAAGACACATACATGCATATGTTCATTTACAATAGCAAAGACATGCAATCAACCCGAACATCCATCATTGACAGATTAGATAACGAAAATATGGTACGTATACACCATGAAATACTATGCAGGCATAAAAAGAATGAGATCTCTTTTGTATCCTGAGCAAACTAATGCAGGAACAGAAAACCAAATACTCTGTGTTCTCACTTATAAGTGGAAGCCAAATGATGAGAACTCATGGACACAAAGAAGGGAACAGTAGACACTGGGGTCTACTTGAGGGTGGAGGGTGGGATGAGAGACAGGAGCAGAAAAAATGACCATTGGCTAGTACCTTGCGGCTGAAATAATCTGTACAACAACCTCCAGTCACATGAGTTTACTTGTTTGCAAACCTGCACATATACTCCTGAACCTAAAATGAAGGTTTAAATAAGTTTCTATGGGTTAACTATTTTAAATCTGCCACTCTAAGTAAAATAATTTCAGTCAACTCTAAATAAAATTATGGAGATTGCTAAAAAATTTTCTGGTTGATTTTCTCTTACCTACTTGTATAACTGATGTGTCAGTCTACTACTGTCTTCCACTGATGATCTAGGCCTAGTGTCTCATCTGTCCTTGGATTTCAGACTACTTGGTTTTCTTACAATTCAGCTGCCTGATGGGTTCAAGAAAAGGTGTGAGTTTTAACTTTTTCTCTTTTTTTTAAATTATACTTTAAGTTCTGGAGTACATGTGCAGAACATGCAAATTTGTTACATAGGTAAACACTTTTTTTTCTTGTTTTTAGCGTAGGAGCAATGCTTGTTCCAGCTTTCTACATTCTAGGGTAATGCCTATTCTGGCATTTAAGCAATAGCTTATCCACCGTTAGAAATATTTTGTAGTGATAAAAGAAAATAATTATAATCTATATGGTGGACACCAGAAGTCCTAAGACTTATGTAGAGGAAATTGACCAAAGTCTCCCAGAATAATCACAATTAGTGAGCAAACAATGAAGAAAGGATATGAGTTCATGTGGGAAAGAACATGTTAGTGGCAAGCCTTTGAAATCTGTGAAAAATATTTTCTTTCTTTACCAGGGACATCTAGGAAAGAACAAGATGTTTTGGTCAAAGTCCTTTATTAAAATGACAAGCAGAAAGATAATACAGAACATCCTTACATTTGAAAGGCCTTTAGCAGAATACATCTGGTCTGTCTAGATTACGATTGTACATACCTCAATAATTCATAGATATGTGGGTCATAGCCCACTGGAAGATATCACATAAACTAGATAATAAGTGAAGTATAAAAAGGAACTGTTCAATAACCAAATGGCTCTTCTGTAACAAGCAATATTATGTATGTATTGCCTAGAACATAATACATTTAATAAAAAAAAACTGAACAGTTCCTAATGGAAAATGGATTGCTTCAAATTTTTCAAAAGGCAATGAAAGATATTGCTAATATATTGCCATCACTCATATCCTTTAATTACTAGCAAAGTTAAATACTGAATAAAATATCTGATTCTGGCAAGTCAGCTTTAACAGGCCAACCATCTCTTTTTAATCTCAATAGATGTTTATAATTTTAAAGTGCATACATGTTCTACTGTGCAGTAATGCCTGTCATATAATCAGAGTCTGAACAAGAATCATTGCATCAAAATTCAGAATTTATGTCATTTTACCACACAAATTCTTTAGTCATATTTAGGCAGTTTTCATTTGCTCCTCATTTTGAAGTAGTACCACATACCTGATAGTATGATCTGTGGTCAAAATTCCAGGAAACCAGAAATATCTGTGTAATACATGCAAATAAAAAAAGGAAAGAACTGTAATATCAAATAAGCTATAGTATATTTTTCTTGCATATAAAGTATTTATGTTGGCCATTTTTTAGTAGATCATTGATTTGCTTTCAATAACAGCAGTCACAGAAAATGAGGCATTCTCCCAGGCCTTCTTCATTTATAAGAAACAATAATCTCTTTTGAATCTTGCTCAGTGCTCAACCTAGGCAAAGTCAACACCAGGCTTCATAGCCAGACCCTACTATCAGTATAATCATAATTCTGATACTATACAGTAAAGCTTTTAATTAGGATTAGCTCAGGACCAAACTTTCAGATTAAAGTTATTAATTTTATGAAGCAGAAGGAAGAGCTACTCAGATAAAGTCCTGATGACAAAACTAAAGCTGAATAAAAACTTAATTAATTAAGTTATATCTAAAATTAAGATCTCCATATATATTTTACATTACTTATCCTTTTAAATAGAACCATTTGTTTTACACATCCATTGGTCTGAATTTCTTCAATTGTTCACTGTATTTAATATAATCACTTTATTTTTAATAAATTACTGTAGACCTTTGGTTTCAATATTGGATACATATAGTTCTCTATTGTTAAAGAAATATTATTTTTGTTATTCTTTTTTGGGGGGAAGATGGTCTTGCTCTGTTGCCCAGCCTGGACTGCAGTGGTAAGATCTTGTTTCACTGCAACTTTCGCCTCCCAGGATCCAGCAATTCTCGTGCCTCAGCCCCCTGTGTCATTGGGATTACAGGTGTGTACCACCACACTTGGATAATTTTTGTATTTTTAGTAGAGATGAAGTTTCATCGTGTTAGCCAGGCTGGTCTCAAACTCCTAGCTTCAAGTAATCTGGCCACATTGGCCTCCCAAAGTGCTGGGATTACAGGCGTAAGCCATAGTGCCGAGCCTGTTATTCCTGAATGATTTTAATTTTTGCTTTTTTCAAACCAACTACTTGAATTGATTACATATAGATTTGGAAAGTGTCTAAATTAAGCAAACTTCATGCCTTGTCTTAAGATCATTTATTTCCAACCAATCACACACAGACACAGATACAGATATATGAGTTTATTTTAGAAACCCTCATAACTTGACCCACATTTTGCAGCCCTAGCCTCACATATAATTTGTTTTTATACTGATAAAATAAATTAGACCATCCAAATAGCCTCAAAAACAAATAAAATGTTAGATCCAATGGTATTGAACCTGTCTAGAAGAGCTTGAGAGTGCTGAGAGGGAAGATACCTGGGAAAATTGAAGTGCAGCCAGAAAATTATGAGTTTCAGTGTTGTCTTCCCTCGCAGAGTGACTGTGCCTAGGCCAAACAAGCATAGTCATGTTTTCTGCTTTCTTGCTCAGTAATAGAGCTCACCATGCGCACCCCAGGATGGCTTTTGAGCAGTTTGTTTACCAGAAAGATAATAATCAGCCAATATTTTGACAATAGTTCTGGAAAACAACCAGTTTTCCTCTGAGTCAGAAGACCTTTTCAGTTGTCTTGAATAAAGTTCATACAAGAATTGTGTTTTATCCCTGATGTCTTTGATTTCTTATCAGATAATAGGAAGCTTGACATATTATATTTTTAACTCCAGAAAGTTTTGCTCAGAGTCTTTAGATAAATATTAACTAGGTCATTAGAAAGAAATTACTAAAAACCACTGTGGTTCTATAGAAAGAATAAATAATTTGGAATCAGAAGACCAGTTGCTTTCTATTTGTTAGCTTTATGATCCTAAGTAAGTCTGCAGGACCCTTAACTTTTCTGTCTTGCTTTTTTAATCTGTAAAATGGGGAGAAAATATCTGATTTGCCTATTCCACAGGGATGCTGTGAGTATCAGATGAAAGAATGTGCACTGATATGGTTTGGCTGTGTCATACACAAATCTCGTCTTGAACTGTAGTTCCCATAATCCTCATGTGTCCTGGAAGGAACCTGGTGAGAGGTAATTGAATTATGGGGGTGGCTACCTCCATGCTGTTCTCATGATAGTAAGTTCTCTCAAGATGTGATGATTCACGAGGGGCTTTTTACCCACTTCCCTCTGTACTTCTCCTCCCTGCCACCATGTGATGAAGGATGTGTTTGCTTCCCCTTCCACCATGACTATAAGTTCCCTCAGGCCTCTCCAGCCATGTTGAACTGTCAGTCAATTAAACCTCTTTCCTTTATAAATTACTCAGTACTGATTATATCTCTATTAGCACGTGGGAACAGACTAATACATGCACAACATTCCTGATAACGGGAACATGTATAAACATGTTTGATTCATCCACTTGAGCATTTATACTATCCCTTGATTCATTACTCATTTTTTGATGTGTTTCTCAATTTGAGTTTTGCCCAATTAAATCATGTCTTCTCTTAGAGTAAGGATGGAAAAGAGATTTCCTCTTATATATCAACACAGTGATAGTGGCTGCCTAACATAGTACATTGAGTAGGATTCTGAAGAAATTTTAGGTCTAATAGTAATAAGTATTGTTAATAACTAGTGATATCTCCCATGGGGATCAGTATAGAAATACAAGTAGCCACAGCACACATTTGCAATAGCTTCTTTAAAACTTGAGGGAGTTATTCCAATAAATCTAGATACGCTTTGCCAACTAAGGACCAAGATTAACAGAGAAACTTATAAGATTTACATGACTTGGCATCAATCTCAACCTACTGGCCAAGACAAACCTGATAAAGTCTTTCTGAGGATAATTAATAATACAATATCTTTGTATAAACTGATGTTCATAAGCCAATACTTAAATCTTGAAATGGAAAAGGGATGTTGAACACTAGAGTGATCTAGCTGTGATGCTTTAAAAAGCAAGGTGAACTTGGCCCTCTGACCAGCAGGGTAAGTATCCTCCATTTTGCTTCACTCAAAGAGAGAAACTTTCCGTGATAAGGGACTATTCTTCAGTAAAGTAGAATAAATATGTGCATCTCCCTGTGAGAACCCCATAATGTGCTGTCAGGGACCATGAAGAACAAATTAATATCATTGCTTTTTTTTTTTTTTTTACAATTTCAAATTATTGTTAATGTATGTCAAGAAAACCAATCCCAAGATGTTGTTTCCCAATGTTATCATCTAAGGAAAAATATATACAGTTTTGACAATTAGCTCTTAAAATGAGCTATTAAAAGGTGGTGCATGTTAATATAAAGACAAACACACTGTGGACTCTACATCATATATACAGACTGACTCCAAAAGATAGAGTTGATACATATATCTTGTGAACATTTATTCATTCATCCACTTATTTAATTAGCAGATAATATTTGAGCATTGACCGTGTGCCAGGCATTGTGCTAGATGATGGTTATACAAGGGTGATTAACACAAGCATATTTCCTTATGTTTATGGGACTTACCTCCTAACAGCAAAGCAATCGGCCAGATAATTACATATGTAGGACCTGCTACCAAGAACATAGTGCTGTGCTCTAAGAAGATCATAATAGAAAACCTTAATTCTGTGAGATTGGGAGAAGCTAAAGCTTAAAAGGTTATAGTGACTAACAGGGTGGAGATATAGAAATATTTTCTAGATGAATTATCAGAAATTGAAATGGTTAACATAGCTAACTGAGCCAGCCAGCCTTGATTTAAAAAACATAGATAGGCAAATAGGTTACTTAGAAATTGAATCACTTAAAGTGATAACTGTATATTTCCGATGCTGGTATTTTCTGAATTTTCACCCAAAACTAGGAAATTTTGAGTGTCTGATTCCTAGGTTGACTTCAGAAGCATAATCTTTTGTCTGGATTCTCCCTGCCCATTATGCCCCACCCCTTTCAAAAATGAGTCATCAAAGCCATCATCTATAACAAGAATCTGAAACAAGGTTTTCACATTCCTATGGAATAATGCCAACTGCCTAGAAATCTATGCACATATCCCTAAAATGCATACACATCATCAAAGAGAATTTAGAAACTCTTACTAGGGCAGCCTACATCCAGGACTGTTTGACATGGTAATAAAAAGACCTCATGTCGAGACAACTTTAAATGAGCTTTAGAGTTTCTTAGAGGATCAACTGAGATCTTTACTGAGTTTGCCTCACAGTCCAACTTCTCCTTCTGTTCAATCCTGCTTCCCTCTCTTCCCTTCCAGAAGTGGTGAATGTAAGCTCTGCTAAATCAAGCTCTTGCAAGGTAACCTCTGTGCTATAGACTGAAATGTGTCTTTCCCAAATTCATATGTTGAAGGCCTAACCCCGAACATGACTATATTTGGAGATAGATTAAAGTTAAATTATATTATAAAGGTGAAATCCTAATCTCTCTCTACGTGTGTAGACAGAAGAAAGGCAACAAGAGCAAGCCAGAAACAGAGTTATCAGAACTTGGCCAGCCGGCACCCTGATCTGAGACTTCAAGACTCCAGAATTGTGAGAAAATAAATTTTTGTTGTTTAAGCCACCCAGTCAATGGCATTTAATTATGGCAGCCCAAGCTGACTAATATACTTCACCTCAGCATCTGCTTCCCAGGAAACCCAACATGTGACAGTCACTCTGTCACCACTGACTCTTTGACTAGGATACAGTCACATATAGTCACCATTGTCTATATGATTAGGATTATTTTTTTGGATTCAAAAGAAAATGATAGAACCCATTGAAGCAAATGGATTATATACACAGAGATTCCAATATGCTTAAGAACTTTCTGAGTTAAAACTTGAGCTTTCTATTTAGAAAGCATGTTCTCAACCTGAATGACTCCAACGAGATAACTGCTTGGTGAGCACAAGGCTATTTATCATATTCATGACATGGGAAGATCGTGCTGCTGGTCCCTGAGTTTCTGGCAGGTGGAAATGGAGATATTGTCATTTCCAGTATGTCATGTCCCCAGTGGTGCTGAATCACTTGAAATTCCAAACAGCTGCATTGTCTCCTGTAAGGTTTCTCATCATCAGAATGCAAGAAACTGCAGAGCTCTGATACAG